AGGGCCTTTTATCCAGGCAATTATTTCTATTTATTCCTTCCTAATTTCCCTTCCATTGGCAGGATCCCAGAAACTAAATCTCTCTGCTTCTCCTTTGAGGTTTTCTTTCCTCCAGGGATCCCACTACATGATACCACTTTTCATGAAGAAAGTTTCTGCCAACTCCTGCCACCAGCTGTGGTGTAGTGGAGCCCACTACTTTCTTCCTGAGAACTCTTCAACCCCATTCCTCTGGTCTTCCTTTAGAAATGAGTGTCTAAAGGCCAGAAAACCTGGGGGACTCTCGCACACATCAAGAGGTGACCCTAAAATGAAGTCTTGGTTTGAAGACAGCAGGAGAGGCAGGTTCTCCTTCCCTCAGGGCTCATGTCTAGAGCTCAGAAAGGTAAAACTAGTCTAGGATCCTGTTGCCTCTGGGAAGACCTGGCTCAAGAGGAGAGTGGAGCAGCTGCTGGATCCTTGTAGGGACACGGAAAGAATTTAGGTTAATCAGCTCAACTTCTGCCCTACCCTTACCATTTACCAGGAATCCTGACCTGTCTTGGGATTCTAGGTTGGGGGTGGGGGAGATTCTAAGACCCTCCCCTCCTAAGACCTGCTGAACCATCCCAGAGCCTAGAAGTCATGCATGTGGGAAGGGGGCCAGTTGTCTTCCAGACCAAAAGGAAGCCATCCACCCTCCCTAGCTTTTGCATCCGATCACCTCACTTAGCTCATTATAGCTTTTAGGAGAAAAGTAATGCACTTTCAAACTAGAAAACAAGGTGGTGTATCAAAGCTCTCCTCTTTAAGGAAGGCCACTGGTGAGAAGATGAAAAACAAATACCTGCTCACCCTCTACTTCATCTCAAAGCAGAACAAAAGATGTGTTTTTTTCTCTCTCTCTCCTTTCCTTCCTTTTTCTCATTGTTCTTGGAGAAGGAAGGAAAACACTCCTTTCTCTCCAGATTGATACCTTGTCTTGAAGGAAAAGCTTAGCTTTCTCCAAATGGAGGATTTATAATTTCAAAAACACAGGACAATTTAGTTCTTATCCCACCCCCACTCTGGTCCTAGCTTTTTCATTCGTTCCATAAAATTCACCTTAGCGTTCCTTCTGGAAGAACAAGCCACCACTGGCAAGGGAGTGGTTGGCAGGGTGGAACGGTGTCCCCCACCAGCGGGAAGCAAGAGCTTAACAGTTTTCTTTTCCAGTCAATGCAGGTGTCTCAGGGAAAACCTCCCTACTCGGGATGGGCCCGTGACTCCAGCCTGAGAGCAGAGAAGGTTCTCTCCAAACGGTGGGAGGGGTTGGGTGGGGTTTCTCCAGTCCGCTTTTTCTATCTTCCTGCCTCAGCGAGGTGGGAAACAAGATTCTTCCCTGGTTGACCCCTACAAGCCCAGAGCAGAGCTGACCATTCTGAGGGATGAAGTCCAGGCTTTTGTTACTGGGGCCACGTTTGACTGTCCAACTAATGTATCCGCGTAAAAAGTCTGCGAGTGGGCGCCTTCGCGGGCCCATCTGGTGGGTGCGCGCGGAGGCTGAGGAGGAGGGCAGGGAGGCCGGCTAGAGAAGCAGAAAACCTCCGGGAGAAAGGGGCGGGCTGGGGCCTCTCGGGGGAGGAGCTGCGGTCAGACCCGAGAACCCGCCCCCGCCCCGAGCTGGGGGAGCAGGGGAGGGACGCGGCTGGAGCGCCGGGGAGCCTGGGCGCTGGCGAGCGCTCTGCTGGGAAGAGCGCGCCGTCGGGCTTACTGGAAACTCGCCGGATCAGATTCCAGATCAATGAAATCTGGGTCCACACGTTTACGTTATTGTTGCTAGCATTAATGCTCTTTTAATCTGCTAAACATTATCAGCATCGATCTCCCTCCATATACACATTTGTTTGAGAAAGTGACATAACCACGCGGTGGAAAGCTTGGAATAAAAATAAATGCGCAGCCTCTCGCGTCCAGGGCGCCGGGAGGCCCAAGCTACTTCTGCAGCTCGGGTTCACTCCCCTCCCTCGCGCCCCGCCTCCTCGGCCCGCTCCCGCCCACGCTAGTGCGTGTTAGGAAGGTGTTCTCCGGGCTCCCGGGACTTGACGCAGCAAGGACGGTAGCGGGCTTTTCAATTATTCATCCGACCAGCCCGCAGGCGAACAGATCGTCTGGTCCGTACCGGCGTGGGCTGCGTTCGGCCTCTCGGGCTCGGATCCCGAACTAAGCCGCCGGAAGAGGTTGGCTGGACCGGGAGCCGGAGCAGCGGGAGGGGAGACTGAGGTGAGGGGTGGGGGGACGCTACGAAGGAGGTCCGTTTTCCGCCCCTCGGCTTGGAGACTCCCAGCGGTCCGCGTCACCCAAGGACGTCCCCGGCGCAGCAGGAAACACACACGCACGTGGTGCCCCGGCAGTGCCCAGCCGCTACAGGCGTCAGGTGGCCCAGGCGACATCTCGGCGGGTTGGCTAAGGGCCCTCGGCCGCCTGAACAGAGTTGGCTCCAGACTGGCCGCTGGGAGCTGCTGCCTGGAGAGGCCCGTGCGTCTGCCCGCTGCGGGGACTGGAGGCAGGCCTCGGGCGGCGGAAACCTCGCCAGAGAATGTAGCCGGGGGCTCCGCTGTCTTCCGGGCGTTGGAAGAAACCACACCCCGCCACGGAGGACTCGCTTTTCCTCGAGGGCCGCCCGATCGGGTTCCTGCTTGGGTTCTCTTAGTCCCTCCTTTTTCGTGTTTGTGCTTGGTTCAGAGGCCTGGGGGGCTCAAAGTGGGAGAATGTGTGTGCTCGAACCCGCAGGAATTGGCCCTTGCTGCCTCTGGCCGGGTTAGTAACCCCCTCACCCCCACCCCTGCGGGGACCGGCCTTGTGAACCGCCGGGGAGGCCCGGCTGCGCGGGGTCACAGCCACTAGCTGCCCTGCCACCCTTTTCTAACGCAAGCGTGCATCTGGAATCCCTTTCTCGGAAACCTAATGTCAGGGCAATCTGAGTTTCTCCCTTCCCCCTTTAAGTGCCACCCCTAGCTGTGGGTAGCCGAAATGGCCAGCAAGGAGGAAGAAAGGACCTGCCAATGTTGTGATTGGTCGTACTTCGCCTGAAGGTGAGTTTTGCAGGCGCTGGACAAATTAGACATCTTATTTGTGAGGCCCCCTCAACCGCCTGTCTGCTTGGGCCTTTGGCAGGACTCAGGGGTGCCCAGAATAAGAAAAAAGAAAGGAAAACTAAAAGGAGGGGGTGGAGGGAGAGAGGGAGGGATAGAAAAGAAGCCGGACCTGGGCTGGACGGGAAGCCGTGTCGTCGAGGCGCAGGGCTGGGAGTCGGCCGAACTGCCCTACGGAGCCCCTCGGCTTATTTAACCCGGTGGGCACAACGGCATAGGACCTCAGAGGCGTCCCGGCGGGGATTCCGATCGATTCTCTGGCGGAAAAGACCTCCGCTTTTCTTCTCCGTTTGCTCCTGTCCTCTAGCTCCTGAGCACATAATACCTACTTACCAGTCCCAGCTTCTGCGTCAGTGTCTGAAGAGACTGATCTACTGACCCCAAACTGAAAAGCCTCCTCTGTAATAATAACCACTCAACACACTTGTAGTTGCTGATAAAATGGCCAGATAAAAAGGCTAAAGCTCTTGTCCCTTTTCAACCAAGGGTAATAAAACAGACACACATTTGAATGCCTGAGCAAAGCGGGGTCCTCAGCAGGCATTTCCCACTGGTTGGAGGAGGCGTTCAGTCTCCCGCGGTGGCAGCTTCAGCACTCCCCCGCCGAAAAGCCAGCGGCTTGGGCCATGCGCTCCAGTCCTACCCCTGGGGAGTTGACCCTGGGACTCCGTGGGCGTGGGTGAGGCTGAGGATCCCCACGATGTCACACTCTTCCTCATCCTAGCAATGCCTTGGGCGTTGTAAAAGCTGAGAAGCACTAATACAAGGATATTTCAAAAAGTTCGTAAAAAATATAAATTAAAAGATAATACGAACCTTTCCATGAACGTTTTGAAATACCATCCTAGGTGAAGCATTACTTTCCGCTACACTTTCAGACCTACATAGGCAGAAGGTATGTGTTTTTGTTTTTGTTTTTGTTTAAAGCTGTGTCCTTTGCAGGACAGGCGTGAGGGGGCGGCAGCGCTCTGAGATGGGCCAGAGCAGAATAGGTGTCATCCTGTCGCACTGTACCCCCAAGACTAGCTGCCAAGTTTCTTCAGGACCCCAGTGCCCAGGAAACCAGCGGTGCTAGAGCCCATCTTAGAGGACCCGGAGCATTTGGGGGCATCTAAGACAAAGGAGTACTACAAGGTTAAGAACTGTCAATAATCCTTCGATTTACCTCTCGCCCCTACTCTCTACTCGCTGCTTTATTTTTGCCAGGAGACAAGAGCAAATTGTTGAAAGTTGTAGTAGAGGATAAAGAGTAAACTAAATGAGAAAGAAAAATAAAGGAAGTTTCTAAATCTACTCAAAAGTATCTGAAGTCCACCGACTTGGGGAAGGTGTTTGGGGGGAAAGTGGTTTTCTTTACCTTCTTAAATCAACACTTTGGGGCGATTACTAACCGGAGATCAGAATCTTCCAACGGCGGGGCAAAGGAGGAGGCTGCCAGAGCGAAAACGCCTCCTCCCCAAGCCCGGGCGACCACGCTGCCCGTCACATCCCCCGACCCTGTCGGGCGACGGAAAGTGCACCCTACAAGCTGGCCTCAGTGGTGCGAGCAAAGCCCCGGGGCGCGGGAGTGGGAGCCTGAGCTTGCAGCTCCGGAAGCGCGCTGTGTACGGCGGGTTCGGAACCGCGTCCCAGTATCTGCGTATTGTAAATCAGTGCCACCATGAAGTGTTCCCCCAGATTGCCCACTGATCCCCAGAGATCCTTCCAGTTCAAAAGAGGCCGTTCATCTCGGCTTGCAGTATTGTGTCTTCCCCAGTGTGTGTGTGTGTGGGGGGTTGGACACTTTGCTCCTCTGGGCGCGTGGCTGGGTCCTCCGGCAGCGCAGTCACCTCGCACGCCGCGCGGAATCTGTGCGCACAAAAGCGCGCAACTGCGTGCCAGTCGCAGTCACTGCTGCGTCGGGGGGGGCTGGACACTTTGCTCCTCTGGGCGCGTGGCTGGGTCCTCCGGCAGCGCAGTCACCTCGCACACCGCGCGGAATCTGTGCGCACAAAAGCGCGCAACTGCGTGCCAGTCGCAGTCACTGCTGCGTCCTTACCTCTAGCTCCCGCACCCACCGCCCACACAGGAGGTTGCTGTGCTCCTAGAACAATAGAGGGCTGTACCTCGCGGCTCGGCCGCTAGAGGAGGCACAAAGAGCCGAGCCGGCTCCAGAACAATGTAACCGGCGCGTCCACCGGTCCCCTCCCGCCGGCCGCCAGCCCTCCCCGCTGCCGCGCTAGGCGCACAATCGGCGCCCGCTTAATGCAAAGGCGGAGCCTGCCGCTGGCGCCCGAGAAGCATTAACTAACCTGCATCTCAATTTCCGAGCAGTTCTTCCCGTGAGCTCCTAACCTCTCTCGGAGCCCCAGCAAACCTCGGCAAATCCCAGCAAACGCTGCGAGTAGGACAAGGGCGGCCGGCGAGTAAGGCAGGGCTCTGTCCGCTCTGTCTCTCCTCCCCCATCCTCCCAAAGTGGTGCATGTGACAGTCCCAACCTTCGTCCTTGCACCCTCCCCTCTCTGTAGGCAGTGACACCAGAGCTGGCCCAAGCCCGCTCTTTCAGTCAATCCCGGTCAGAAAGTCCGGCGCCAAAGCCAAGGTCGGAGATGGGCTCCGAAGCAATGTTGTATTTTGGACGCCTGTTCCCCACGGGGGCAAGGCTGTGCTTCCTGCCAATGATCAAAGAAGTTTGCCCGAAAGGGGTGGGTAGGAGGAGAACGGAGAGTTTTTTCTCTTCTGAAGAGCAAAGCCCCTCAACTGCCTCCATATAGGGAGACTAGGCAGCCTGGAAAACTGAAATGTGTTGTCTCAAAATGAGTTCAAGTACACAAGGTTTTGAATATGGCAGTTCCCGGTTTCCTTGAGTCCTAAAAAGAGAGGGCTCCTAGCGGACACCGTGCACCCCCATCCCACCTCCCACTACTGGGGAATGTCGGAAGGAGAGGGCAAAGGTTGGCACATTGAGAGGAGGGCGAATGAAATGGGGGGAGGGAGTCTCGGTCAAGGAAGCCTCAGGGACAAGGGGGGAGGAAGGGAGAAAAAAAAAAGAAAGAAAGAAAAGGGAGAGAAAGAAGAGGAGGAGGAGAAAAAGAGGAAACGGAAGAAGAAATAAAGACTAGAAAAAAGAGGAAGCATGTAGGGGAGAGGAGGTGAGAACCAAGAGAAGTGACTGGGCTGGCAGTCCTGGGCCACAAGCCCCAGGGAGCCCTTTCCCCAGCAGCCTGACTACCCCCTGGGCTTACCTGCCAGGCGCAAGGCGGACATGCGCTGGAACTCGGGCTCCTGCAGCCACTTCCACATCCTGCGGAAGGTCTCCCTGCCAGATTTGAGTTTACTCCATGGTTTTGGATTCCGGAGCAGGTCAGAGAGAGTCCCCTGAGACCGGCACAGCACCCTCTGCGCGAAGATCGCCTGTGGGATGCTGTAGCGCTTCAGCTCAGCAGTGATACGCTGGGCCACCTCTTTGGTGTTGATCTCCTCCAGCTGGCCCGACGTGGCCACCTGCGAGCCTGATGAGGACGAGGGTGGCCGCTCGCGGCTGGGCGCCAGCACTGGGCCATGGGACTGAGTGTGGCCCGGGTGGTGCAGGCCGTTGAGGTGCGACATCATGGCAGCGGGCGGGGTGCCCAGGCCTCGGGACAGGTGTTGCTCACCGCGAGTTAGCATGGCAGTGTGGTGCGCGTCGAAGTTGGGGCTGAGCATTTTGTCATGGCCCGGAGGACCGTAGTTGGGCAGGCTCTGCTGCGCGTTGTGGAGGCCGCTCAGCCCGTTGCCCAGCGGCGTGGCGGCCAGTGGGGACAGGCTTTGGCTCATGCCGGGCATCTCCTTGTAGGGACTGTAAAGGTTGTTCATGGCCGGGAGCCCGCGCTCGTCGCGCATGAGAGTAAAGCTGCCGCTGACGTTGCCCGACAGGCGCTGGTGGTGGTGGTGGTGGTGGTGGTGCGGGTGGTGGTGCGGATGCGGGTGGTGGAACTTGTCGGACACAGTGGAGATGGGTGGCAGCGGCTGGAGCGGCGTCAGCGTGGTGTAGGTGTTGCTCATGCCCATGCCGGGTGGGGACGAGTCGCAGGACATACTCATGGCGTGGTGCAGCGGGATGGAGAGCTCGGGCCGGTAGTCGCTGCCGTCCAGGATCGAGGCCATGCTGGTGACCATGGCCGAGCGCGA